TTATTTATTCTAAATTCAATTTTTATTTTAATTCATTGTTTACACATACATACGTACGTACATACATACATACATACATATTGTTTTTTCATATTTTAATTCATTGTTTACACATAAAAACATGCAAACATACATCTTGTCTTTTTTTTTGTGTGTTCTATTTAATATTCTTGCAATAAGATCATTTTGTGGCCTTACTTATTGATATAAATTTTGTGAAATTTGGATGGCTACTTGTACAAACAAAAAATGCCATAGCTCTTAAGACTAATGATTCAAAAAGCTTTATAATCTTTAAAGAGATTCTTTTTTATAATCCTGAAGATTATAATCAATAGAATTTATGTTATATAAAATTAAAATATATTTTAATTCTTTTTTATTAAAAGTTTATGTTCTATGAATTTATAAAATATTAAAGTTTATGCTAGAATATTAATTTATGTCAAATTGTATACTTTTTATTGGAATTTGTGTTTTATGTATTTTGGCACATCAATCCTTATATTTATTCTTAATGTTTTGAAGAATGTCTATTTTTGTGGTCAGCACCAACGTTAATTATGCAAATATTTGCATTGAGGATAGTGCTATGACACATACAATTTTTAATAATATAATATATTTTTCAAATTTAATTAATAAGGAAAGAAGCTTATACTAATACTATATCTAGTAGTATAAAATTAACTAAAGGCTTAAGAAGAGCTAGTATAATATTACTAAGAGAAAAAAATTTGCATATTGATAATGCATTATATTCCTCTAAGTCTTACAGGAATTTATTAAGCTTCAAAGACATCTGAAAAAATGGGTATCATATTGAGACAATGAATGATAAGGATGTTAAATATCTTTATATCATGAGAAGTATCTCGAATGAAAAATGTGTATTGGAAAGATTATCCGCATTTTCTTATGGATTGTACTATGCACATATTAGTACAATCTAATCACATGCTATTGTAAACTAGAAGTTTACAAATCACATGTTCCTTATTTGGCATGATCAGTTAGGCTATCCCAACTCAATTATGATACGAAAAATGATATAAAGCATATGCAAACATGACTTGAAGAGCCAACAAATCTTTCAATCCAATAGTTTTTCATGTGTTGCGTGTTTCTAAGAGAAATTGACTATCCAAATATCACCATCCAAAATCGGGAGTGAATCAATAAACTTTTTAAAAGCACATACAAGACGATATTTATGGCCCAATTTACCCACCATGTGGACCATTTAGATATTTCATAGTTTTGATCGATGCATCAACCAAAGGGCATGTATGCTTACTATCAACTCGCAGCCAGGCATTTGTGAGATTGCTTGCTTAATTAATCTGACTAAGAGCCTATTTTCTTGATTACTCAATAAAGAAAATATGCCTTGATAATGTTGCTAAATTTACATCTCAAGCTTTTAATGACTAGTGTATGGTTATTGGAATTGAAATTGAGCATCTTGTAGTACATGTTCTTATAGAAAATAAAATTGCAAAACCATTTATCAAACATTTAAAATTGATTGCAAAACCATTGCTCACACGACCAAAACTCTTGATATCTACTTAGGGGCATGCAATCATGCATGCTATAACATTAATTTGCATCAAGCCAAATAAGCTATCAAAATTCCTCCCCTTTATAAATGATTTTAGGTCAAGGGCCTAACATTTTCCATCTTACAATTTTTGGGTGTGTGGTTTATGTTCCAATTACTCCACCATAACATACAAATATGAGACCTCAAATAAGGTTAGAAATATATGTTGGATATGAATCTCAGTCAATAAAAAGATATCTTAGACCATTAATTGAAAATTTATTCACAACACATTTTGCTTTTATCCATTTTGATGAATACGTTTTTCCAGCACTAGGGAAGAGAAGAAGCAGTTGGAAAAATAAATTAGTTGAAATAAATTATCATTGTCTCATCTAGATCCTCGTATAAAACAATGTGAATTAGAAGTTCAAAAGATAATTCAATTACAAGTTTGGTAAATCAATTGTTAGACACATTTGCTAATCTAAAAAGAGTGACCAAATCACATATTACAACTACTAATGCTCTGATCAAGATTGATGTTCCTGTCAAACAATCAATCACAATACATGAGTCTAGGACTTCCTTAAGCATGGTAGACTCATCAGTTGTAAAGATAAAACTCCTCGAAAAGGAAAAGGAGACAAAAATTTAGATGGCTTGGTTGAGAAAAATGAAAATCCATAAGAGTTATTAAACATAACAAAAGTCTCAACTCTAGGTGAGATAGGTACTTAAAATGGATAAATATAATGAGATCTCAATAAATTATGTTATAAATAGAATTTAATGGGATAGAAAATGAAATCAACTTTGATGACAATTTTGCATATGATATAGCACTAAATGTCATGAATGACATTGACAATCAAGAACCAAAGTCTATTAGAGAATGTAGACAAAGAAATGATTGGCCAAAGCAGAAGGACACAATGGAGGCAGAATTAAAATCTCTTGAAAAATAAAAAGCTTTTAGACTCATAGTTCGCACACTTAAAGATGTGAAACCACTGGGTTTAAGTGGGTCTTTGTGCAAAAATGAAATGAAATAGATGAAATTGTAAGGTATAAAGCACAACTTGTTGCTTAAGAGTTTTCACAAAGACTTGGTATTGATTTTAAACAAACATGCTCACTTGTGGTGAATGCAACTACTCTTCATTACTTGATTAATCTGGTAGCACGAGAGGAATTAGATTTATGTCTAATGGATAGTGTTATAACCTATTTATATGACTCCCTTAATAATGATATTTACATGAAAATTCCAGAAGGATTTAAATTGATAGAAGCAAAAAATCAAGAATCTTGAAAACAACACTCAATCAAGTTAAACAAATCCCTTTATGGTTTAAAACAATCAAGGCGTAGGTAGTAAAATCACCTTAGTGAATATTTGATAAAGAAAGGATATAAGAATGATCTTATTTGTCCATACATTTTCTTGAAAAGATCTGAAAATGAGTATGTAATAATCGCAGTTTATGTTGATAATATAAATATTATTGGAACTCCTATAAAGCTTTTAGAAAGCTATGAATTAATTTAAGCATGAATTTTGCCTTGGATTACAAATTGAATGTTTAAATGGAGATATTTTTGTGTACCAAAAAACACATATAAAATGGATCTTGATGTGATTTTATATGAACAAAATCTTTTGAGCATTCAAATGGTTGTTAGATCTTTGACTAAGAATGAAGACCTCTTTAGGCCACATGGAGACGATGAAAAGCTACTTGGTCCAAGAGTATGATATCTTAATGCCATTAGAGCATTAATGTATCTTGCTAGTCATACATAACCTTATATAGCATTTGTTATTAATTTGTTAGCAAGCAAGATATTGTTCTTTACCAACACAAAGACATTAGAATGAAGTTAAACATATTCTATGTCACCTTAGAGGTACTATGGATATGTATTTATTATATTCTAATAAAATCAAGTAAGATTTAGTGGGTTATTTCATGGCAATATATGAAATAGACTGTAGTAGCCACATCTTCTAATTATGCAAAAATTTTAACACTGCATGAAGTAAGTTCAGAATGCATTTGGTTAAGATCTGTGGTCCATCACATCCAAGGCACTTGTTGTCCTTCTTATGCTAAAATGATCTCAACAATCATATGAGAAGATAATGCAGCATGTGTTGCCCAATTGAGAGAAGAAAATATTAAAGGAGATAAAACAAAGCATATCTCATCAAAATTTTTCTTCACACATGATATTCAAGAAAATAAAGAAATCAAAATTCAAAAAGTTTGATCTAGTAATAATCTAGCAGATTTTGTTGACCCCCTTCAACTTTTGAGAACCTTGTTTATAATATTGGAGTTCACATACTCAAGAATATTAATTGATCTAGACATGAGGAGGAGTTTATATATATTGTACTCTTTTTTTCCTTAACCATGCTTTTTTCTCATTGGCTTTTTTATCGCAAGTTTTTAATGAGGCAGTGTTAGGAATGTATTGTGTACTCTTTTTCATTCACTAGAGTTTTGTCTCACTAGGTTTTCTTTAGTAGAGTTTTAACAAGGCACAACATCTTTTATGAATATTCAAAGGAGATTGTTATGAATATTTAAAATATTATGTGGATGTCTATATCTTTCAGTTACTCCAATATCTTTTGACTGTTTCAATATCTTTCAGTTATTATCATTTTATATATTTTATTTATTCTAGTCAACTATATATATACTTATAAATATGAGGTACCTTCGTTATATTCAATATACTAAAATCAGAATTATCTCTTCTCTCACTCAAATATTTTTTTCTTCTAATATTTCTCTTCCCTTTGTCTAAATTTTTATTTATAACATAGTCCCTCCGTTTAAAAATATAAGCTATTTTTTGAAAAGTTAGATGTTCAAAAATATAATGCATTTTTAGTCTTTTGAAATGTAATTATTACCTTTTTTTAAAAGTGTCTCTATTGATAGTGCCTTTATATTTATTATAGAGTTTTTAATAGGGATAAATATGAAAAGATAAAATTAGTTTGAAAATAAGCAATTACTTTATTGAGGGTAAAATTTGGTTAAAAATATCTTAAATTTTTTAATAGAAGGATCAACAATTTTAAAATTAAAGATTTTTTTGAAAACCTATTTTAAAAATAATTTTGTCCTTCAAAATAAGAGAATAACAAAATCTATTTAGTAATGTATTTTTAAAAATATTTTAAAGAATAAAAAAATAAAATATTATTTTAAAAAATAAAAAATAAAAATAACTTTTAAGTGTTCTAGAATTATTATTTTAATGAATAGAAAAATAAAAAATAATTATTTTTATTATTTTTTTGTTTTTAAAATATATTTCACAAAAGTATCACTTTTTAAAATAATAAAATAAGAATAATTTTAAATTGTAATAAAAAATATATAAAGGAAAAAAAAAAATATATATATATATGTATATATTAATTATGACATGGGGCCCCTCTTCTTCATTTCGCTGTTCGCGGGGGAGGCTGAGATTTGAGATTTCTACCTCAGGTCTCTTCGTCTTCTAAATAGCCGCCACGCATAAACCTGGCACATCTTCAATGAACCGAACGAGGGGATTTCCTGAATGTAAGATTTTCACAAAACTTCCAATTTTACACTGAAGAACCACTATCAGCAGTATTAAATTGTAAACTCGTTGGCTTAGCTCATACTCCACTGACTCCATGTACTCTTCGACAGTAACGCTTGCGCTTGAAGAGCGCGAATGTGAAGATGTTGGAAGCTAAGAGTCTGAAGAAAGCAGTGGTTCCATCTACTCTTATTCAGGACCCATCGCCTGGAAGCCTCCAGTCAACTCGCCTCGCTGTCCATGTATAAAATCGCTTCTATCAATTCTCTTTCTGTGATGTTTCGCTTTATCCGCCTCCTTATGGGCTCTTACGTTCTTTGTTCATTTGTTAGGTTAGCGAAGACCCAAGATTTTGTTTGGTATACGTAGCTTCCGGTTGTGACATTTACAAGCTCCAGGTATCTATTTTGATGCACTCTGTATGCATAACATGGCATAGGGAATGACCCGCACTGGTAATGACTCATGACGTTTTTAAAGTATATATAGGTATATAGATTTGAGGGAGAATGAACGCATTTTTCGTTTCATGGTCCCGTGTAGTTGATTGGACTAGTAACCTTGAGCACCATTGTCTGCCTTTCTTTTGATTTTTACATGTTAAACCGTCCAAAATGCATGGTGATTGTGATAAGCTCAGTTATTTGGTGTGATGTGTACATGGAATAAGAGAGACTTGCGCTGAATAGTGCTTTGTAGCGGAGCATTTCATGTTAGTTGTCACAGGCATTTATCTTGTTTTTATAGGCTTATTTATATTCTGTTTTATTTAAGCTTCTTGTAGTTCTAAAAGTTTTTATTTCTTTTCTTCTTAAAATTGTGTACTTTCTAGATTACGCTGGAAGAATCTTCAGTTTGTAAAGGAAAAGAAGGTCTTTTGATCCCTGAACAAACTGAGGTACGAAGCATGTACTGCAGAGGAAAATACTTGCGTCATGCCTTAGATCCTTTTATGTGAAGTTTCATGTGTTCAGTTTCTTGGTTTTCCTGTCATATGTTAGTATGGTGATTGTTGAATTTTGTTCTTCTTGTCTCTGGTAGGTTATTGACTCTTCATTAGTCAATCGCTGCCCTCATCGTTCAGAAATTCAGAGTATTGTTCTTGCTGAAGCTGGAAGTACGTAACTTATGCAATACAATCATGACTTTCAATAATTTCTTCTTTCGGTCAATTTTTTTTTTTATTTTTAAAAGTATCTTCAGCCTTCTTAGTTCTAACAATGCCTTTTATTTAGTAAAAAAGTTTTGATAGGCTATGCATGATAATTGTCCTTTGTCAATTGACCTGATTCAAAGTAGCTAATTAGCATTAAAGTAATTCCTGGAAACTGGTGTATATCAACATGGATTTTGACCCTGAATCAAATATTGAATAATATTATTGAATGCTAAAATGTTTCTTGCTTCAATAACATTCTGTTTGTTTTATAACACTATGATTCATTTTACATGAATTATTATTGTACTTTTTGTTCGGTTAATTTTTTGCTGGATGTCTTATCAATCAAGTGGCGCTCAAGTCTTCCTTTCAATTTTATCATTCTATCATAAAGCTTTTTCTAGCAATATATCATTTTGTAACTGATATGAGAATAATTTTACCTAATATGGTTCTTGTTGTTTGTATTTCCTATATATTTGTCAATGTCAATACTTTTAAGTTTTAATTGTTGATGCTAGAAAGACAGTAAATGCTCATAAGACTTGAATGATGTATGGAGCTCTACAATATGTAGAAATAACTAGTTTGATGTGCCTTTCAGCTCTTCATTATTAGCTATTAAATTCCTCTTCAGCTTTGGGAAGAATTTTTCTGACGAAGAAAGGAGCTCTCTGCTGTATTCATTTTTGAGTTTGTATTTGTTTTACCCAATTAGGTAGTTATGAAGCAAAGAAATTGATTAAACACAAAAACAACACCAACAAGAAGCCTCACCCCTTTAGGTGGGGTTGGTTATATGGATTGTATAACATCATTATGCTCTATTAGCACCCAAAGTATTTGAGATATTGTTAACTAAAAGGTCTCAAAGAAATTGAATAAATAATTGATAGAATTATACACAGCATTGTAAGAGTTCAACATAACCACGTTGGATAAAATGCTTGTTGATGCCTTGAAATGAAAACTTATATGGAAAGAAATTTCTAGTATCGTTCCAAGTAATTAAAATTTTTCTCTAGTAATTTAGTACGTTAATATACTTATATGATTTAGGTTAATTTATATGTTTGCTGTTCTGTATGTTTAACTTACTTTAATTCTCAGGCCATGGCTACTTGACTTTAGGAAGTGTGGATTCTTATGGTCATCTTATTGTATCAAAGTTAGATACTTCGGGTAAAGGTACATTTTTCTTTATTTTTGTCTTTTCAATACTGTAATTCAGAATTATTGAAGTTCAAGAAGAAAAATGAGTGGTTCTTTGTTCCAAATTTCTTTACCATTTATAAAATCCTTTTTTTTTTTTTTTTAAATGGAGAGTGGATTTAGACATTATTTGGAGATTTTTCAAAGGTACGAGTGTTTGATTGTAAGAGTTAGAAGTTCATAGTGGAAGGTTTCTCAAGTTCAAGTGATTAATTATGGTAAGGTTAAAAGTTTAAGTGATAGTTTACCAAAAGGTCAAAGTTTGAGGTATAATACTTTATGTTTTTCTATCATGTACTTAACAAAAAGGTCTTTAGTACAATCTACCTTTGAGAATGCATTGGTTGTGTTCTAGTTTATGATGCTTCTAGTTCATTGAGTTACTACTTAGATTCACCTGATTGATATTTTTTGAGTTCTAATATGTTAAGAGGGACAGATATGTCTTGTTATGGTATAATTGGCTTGCAGGAACCTTATCTATACTCCTTTTCATTTCATTTCACATTTTAAAATCAACGACAAAATTTAATATTGAAGTTTACTTTTGCTGGCGCCTGTTTGCTATTAAGTGACAAAGATGTATCTGTAAATATGCAGATGTTGACATGCTTACATACTCAGTATCGCCTAATGACTATGGAATAGGAGAAGGAAGTTGGTCAGGACTCTGCTTTAGCCCAAGTCAATGGTTTATGGTGAAGTTTCATATGGACAAATTTAAGAATTTCATATGTTTTTTGTTGCCCTGTGATGACATTTTTTTCTATCCCATGGTTTTTGTGCCCAAAAGAATGATTATAGGAATCAAGAGGGTACCTCTATTGTTCACAATAATGGATGCCAGGATTAATTTTTAAGATTAAATATTGTTTTGCATCTCCTATTGATGATTTCCTGCTGATAATGACAAAAAAGGTCTGTAATGTATACTCTATTTGTAAGTTTCTAATTCTGTCATTGAGAAGATAAAATTGTACAAAAGCTGTGGCAGTAGCCATAACTTTTGTTGAAGACGACAAAAATTATTATATTGTTTGGTGTCCTTGTCTTGAAATAATTATGAAAATTTTGAATGAAATGTCATTACCTTACGTCTAGTCAAATGAAAAATAAAAGATTGGGGACAGAAGATGCTTGCCCTTTTAATCTTCTAGTTCTGACATTTGATAATTTCCTGCCCTTTTTATGGGTTTTCCTGATTTGTTGATTGGTTCCTTCATCCAGGCTGCTGTTGCTCGCAGTTTTTGCAAAAATATTGACATTTATGATCAAGATATACACATTCGTACCTTAAGAATGTAAGGATACTATAGGATGGTTAAATCTTCCCAATTTTTTTTTTTGTCCAATTTTAATATTTTGGAATTGAAATTATCTTATTCCTTTTACTCCTCCAGTTCTTGTTTCTATGTTTTACAAATTGTTGTTGTGCTTCTTATTATGATACTCATTATGACATCATCTAATGAAAGGTTTGTCTCAAAATACATTATGGTAATGACCATGCCTTGGAGTCATTGACCTGTACTGATACCAAATTTTTTATTGTGAACATTTCAAGTCATACAATCTAAATTTTAACTTTTCCTTTCATCTCCCTTCCCATCCAGAATACTGTGATTTACATTAATTTGCTGCCATATGATCTTGAATATATTGCTGATTAAAATTGCAATAATTGCTTCAATGTAGTTTGATTAGTGATTCCATGTGTGACCCTTTTACAATTTTGTTAGAAAGGAAAAAGAAGAGAAGCTCCTGTGTGTATTCTTATTGTGTATTTAGCTGCCAAATTACTTTCTATTGCATGAGATATTTTGTTTCAGGGTCACCCTTAATAATTTAAATTCTTAACCAGCAGAATGCTCCATTTGTCTCAGTAACTGTTCGAATTAACATTTTCTGATGAAGGCCCTCACTATTTACCTCATTGATACAAGTTTGGTTTGCTATGAAGGAAATGTTTAGTAATTGAAATTCTTTTCCAGCTTATTCAAGTTTTGCACGGCTTGTTTGATAGAACTAAATTATTGCTTTAATTAGCTATCATTTTTCTTGGCTTCATACAGTGGCATGTCTAATATTTTTTTTTTCTTTTTTTCCTTTTTGCCACTATTTATGGTTGACTTGTGCTTATTCCCTAAAAGGTCAAATGTTAATGGTATAACTTGCACTAAATTTTGCGCTTGTTAACATTTATTTGTAAGGATGACATTTAGTTAATTTGGTTCTCACAGGCTGTGGTACCCCACTTCATTAAACTTCATGCAAAATGTAGTTAGTGGAGATGGAGGTTCTATCTTAGCTGTTACTGAAGGTTGCCAGGTAATTCCTTCAGCTTTTGTGGCTATTTTTTAATATGTTTTGCTTGGGATTGTCTTGAATTCCCTCATTTTTTTTATTGTTTGCATATGTTTCTGTGCATCTTCTGTTAATAAATTGCAGCTGACTATATGGGACTTGAGAATGAACGAGAATGGTGGTTGTATACATCGAATATGTGGTTCCCCTGGTGATATATACTATTCTGTTTGCAGTTCTTCGACTGGCAATGTTGCTGTGGGTGGAGCTGATCGCACAGTGACCATTTATGATCCTCGCAGGTTAGTCACTGTCATGGTCTTATGGACGAAATATATTGGAATTCATTAGGGATCATGACTCTTGACTTTTACGCTTTGTTTGGAACAACCAAGGAGAGGGTAGGGAAGCTAATTATAATTTGATTATTTTACACGTGAAATTTAAATAGATTTTTCTTTCTTTTTTATTTTATCATGAAATAAATATGTATAATACATTTTATCAACTTTGACACTAACATATCTGTTATTTTAAAAAGTTTGTACAAAAATCAAAATAATAATTCTGTACTACCTTTTGTAAAAAACAGTAGTTATAATTTTCTTTTTATCTCTCAAGTACTTCTAAAGCCTGGTTACTATACCTATGTAGCTAATATGGTGCATATATTTATTTTTAAAGAAATTCCTGTGCATAAACTATTTGGCATAATTGCTTCAATTATTTGTTAATTTTTAAGAACTATGGCATTATGTATGTGTGATGTGAACAGGATAATAACATCCACTTTTAAAAATGGGACACGTTTTGGCTCTTTTTTAAGCCTAATGAAGAAAGTATATACTGTTTGGTTCAATTGTTCTCCCTGAACTTCTCAACAAATACATATATATTGCAATTAAAACTTTATCCAATTCACCAAATCCAATGCATCCAATGGTCAGAAGAGAAGAATTAGGGATTACAATAAAGTAAAATCTATCCTAATAAAAGCAATTAATCATCAGGATTTTCCACAGCTTCCTAATGAGGACTTGAAGATCCAAACACTACATCCATGATTATTGCTTTTCATGCTAGAGGTGGGCATCCAATGATTTCTCAACTTGCCTGCATCACTCATGAGATATTTATAAATCCTAGGCATTTTTTCAGCATCAAATCCACATTCATTTATCAAAGTCGAATTTGGTCACCTGACATCTGTTGAATCGTGTGGTTGAAACTCTCTTTTTAAAACACCTGCCTCATGTATTAATTCATTTCCCTGATTCAATACGTCATGTATTAATTCACGATTCACTCCCACAATCCAATGTTTCATTACCTTCACTAATTTCTGTTGCCACTTCAATTATTATCCCCTTCAATTAATTAAGATTAGTCTCCTTCTCTTTAGTGGCATATTCTTTTCTTCTCCTTTTATTACAACCCCTAGTTACTCTTTGTGATTGCTCAGGAGCTGTATAATCATTTCTTCTCTGAAGTTTTATTTGTAGTATGTATGTTTGTAGACATGATTACTCTTTCTATGTCATTATTGATGAAGGTTGGTTCGATTAATATATTTCTAGATAGGTTCATGAAGAAAAGTTAAAGCATACAATATATGCTTTGTTCCTTGGATTTAGAAAAGGGAACAAAAGAGTATGTCATTTTTTAAAATTGGCTATATTATTGCCTCTGTCCACCCACATACATAATGCCTTAGATTTTAATACTTGACAAATATTATAAGCAATACTCATTGTCACCTGAAACAGTCTATCCTAACCTTGTGAATTATATCGTTATTGTAGATGGTCAGCTTTATCTAGATGGGTGCACTGTTCAAAATATGAGGTCAGTTTTAATGAGATTGCTGCGTGGGTCCTTTATGTTTTGATTCTGTTTTTAATATTTCTTGAAGGAATAATATTGGAAATGAAGAAATTGTTTGAATTTGTTGCTCTATATTCTGCCATTATTTGCATTAATTTATTAAGAGTGTAATATGGATAAATGTGGGCCACGATGCACCTTTGAAATCTATCATTCACCATTGAATTAAATTTCTAGTATTCTTTTTCTTTACTAGGATTTGATTAAATTTTAAGTGGTGTTAGTTTCTTTGTCTCCCCTGTACAATTTTATACAATGACATCCATTGAAGTTGTATGTATACATGCTTGTTCTATGAAAGAATGACATGATTTCATGGTTTATTTCACTCGGAACACTCCTTTGGTTGATTTTATCCAATGAGCATTTCTGTTTTCATGCATATATTCCTTGTGTACCAGCATTTATGCTTGAGAAACAAACACACACGCAATGCAAAAAGTAAATGGCAAATCAATTTCTATTTTCCGTATTTTTCTTGTGAAAGTGGATAATGGAATCTGGGTATTTTGTCATTAAAGTATATTCAAGCTCGTTGTCGTTTGTTCTAAATTAACCTATTGACTAGTAGCTCAGGGTGATTATCGTGGTTCAAGCTCTTAAATTCCACCTGTAGAACATTGATGATTTCTTACAAAACAGGAATATTGATTGAAAATGGAAAAAAACAAAAAAGAAGGGTTGGGAGGAAGGTTAAGCGTGGCAAGTGGAGGGACTGGTCATTATTAAATGCTTTAGCCAATATAAGTGGACCTTTTAACTATGAAAAAATCTTTCTAGCTTTTTGTCAACTGCTTCAACTTTCCTGTTGCTAGTCATTTTCTGTAAAATTAAATTAGAACCATGTCTATTGGGTCTTCCATTACTGATATAAATGACTGTTGTTAATTGCATGATCCAATATTGCCGCAGATAACAGGACTTGCTTTCTCAACAGTTGATCCCAACTATATCTATGTACAAGGGGTTGATTATGAGGTGATTCTCTCTGTGGTTTCTGATGCTAAATTCTTGGTCTTATGTGTGCTATTTTTCTTAATACTTTTAACTAATCTAGACTGAAATTGGATAGTGACATGATCATGGTATTGGTGAAGGTGGGGTTGAGGATTGGGATGCTTAAAATGTCAAATATCAATGCCCATGATCATTCAATTTCAAAGAAAAATTAATACTGTTTCTTATTTGATTTTGTTTCATATAATCATGTCAATTGTAATTACTCGCATTGCATCTGCCGCTGCTGCATGTTGAGAAAATTATTGGGGGGATTTATATTCTTTAAACATTGTAATTCATGAATATAATTAGAGTAATAGTAATAAGTTTATATGAAGGTTTTATGGCATAATTATACTCTTTCCGTTAAAAAATGTAAGGTATTTTTTAAGAAATTTGATGTTAAAAAATGTAAGACATTTTAGTATTTTGAGGTATAATTAATGTGTTTTTTCCAAAAGTGCCCATACTAAATAAATCATTTTATAATTATTTTAAAGTGAAACACTCTATTAAATAAGGTAAGTATGAAAAGATGATGTTAATTTCATTTAAAGATCAATAACTATTTTATTAGGGAAAGATTTGATTAAAAATGCCTTACATTTTTTAACAAAGAGAGTATTCATGAATTAATAACAGTTTATAGTATTTGTCTAATGCAATGATTTTTTTTTTAATGCGGTTCAAACTCAGTTTGTTGGTTTTAATAATTTTCTTTTTATGTATTTGTCACCCTTGTGCTGGGATTTGCTTCAGTTTGAGACACAAAAGACAGTTGCCCAAGGTAATGGTTTTTGAATGGGGACCTATTAACGAGGATGATAACTCTAGTAAACTATAGGGAATGCTGTGCTTTCAGTGGTTCAAAGCTTATTTTGTTTTGGTTAGTAATTATAACCACACTTGAGGAGGGTTATGTTGGGCCATCAACAATCAACGTAAAACTTTATTAAATCTATCATGAATATAGACAATAGGCGTTATAATGCTAATGTTAGGTTGTTGCCAGTAAGTAACGCACTGCATGGCTCGAGTATAGTGATTAGTGAGTTAGAGCTGCTACATCGGCACTCGGATGCAGTGTTAAATGAGCAAGAGCTATCACGTCATTCTGGATGTGCGCGGCTAAAGAAGTTAATCCATGAGAACAATATTAAATTTGGTATTTGGAATGTTGGGACATTGAATTGTAAATCTGTAGAGGTTGTAGGGGTTATGATTCAAAGGAAAATCAATATCCTATACCTGTAAGCAACAAAATGGTGTGGAGAAAAAGTTAAGGATATTCAAGGTTTTAAACTTTGGTATACAGGAAAAGTAAACATACGCAATGAAGTAGGCATCATTATTGATAAGGAATGGAAGAAGAACGTAGAAATTAGCAGGGTGGGAGACAAAATTATTTTCTTAAAAATGATAGTTGGATGTGAGATTGTTAATATTGTTAGCGCTTATGTGTCTTAAGTCGGGACAGAAGTCAATCTTAAGGAATTATTTTAGGAGGACTTCGAGGGGTTGATTCAACACATACCACAGAATGAAAATTTTTTTTTTGGAGGAGACTTTAATGGGCATGTCAGGAGGGAGGTTGGTCAGTATGTGAGGGTGCATGGTGGTTTTAGTTTTGGAGAGCTAAACAATGAAGGACAAACTCTTCTTGATTTTTCGTTGGCGTATGATTTTAAAATTGCTAACACTTGTTTCAAAAAGAGAGATGAGCATTTCATCACTCATAAAAATGGAGCCTCAAGGTCACAGATTGATTTTCTTTTGGTTAGGAACACGGATAGAAGACTATGTAAAAATTGCAAGGTAATTCATGGGGATGTCGTAACGACACAACATAGGGTCCTTATCCTTGATGTGTGTATTATGAGTAAAATCCAAAAACGTCGACAAATAGTAGCACCAAGGATTAGGTGGTGGCAATTAAAAGGTGAGAAGTAAGATATTTTCAAACGAAATCTTTTGGACAGAGGAATTTGGGAATCTCAAAGAAGTGCTAACATTTTATAGGAGGATATGGCTAAAAAGATAAGGGAGGTTGCAAAAGTAGTTTTAGGAGAATCAAAAGGTTTTAGTCCGAAAGATAAGGAGTCTTAGTGGTAGAATAATAATGTACAGGACAAAATTAAACATAAGAAGAACTATTTTAAAGTCATACATTTGTGTAACAATGAGGAAAATTGAGAAAGGTATCGTATGGCTAAGAAAGAAACTAAGAGAATTATGAGTAAAGCTCGTTCTAAAACTTTTGAAGAATTTTATGAGAACCTTGAAACAAAAAAGGAGAATGAAACATTTATAAAATTGCTAAAATTAGGGAAAGAAAATCAAAAGATCTAGAACAGGTAAGGTGTATAAAGGATGAAGAGGAAAGAATTTTAATTATAGATGATGAAATTAAAAACAGATGAGAGACTTACTTTTTTCAAACTTTTCAATGATGGAGAGGGTTCGTCTAGTAACTTAGAGGATTTAATAACTTGTGAAGGAGAACAAAACTTGTTATCCTATCGAATAATATGTGATAAGGAGGTAAAGGAAGCTTTTAAGAAATGGCAAATGGTAGAGTCAATGGACCTGATTGTATATCTATTGAAGTGTGAAAATGTTTAGGTGAAAAAGGGGTGAAATGGCTAACTAAGTTATTTAATGTAATTTTACAGTCCAAGAAAATGTTTGATGACTGGAGGAAAAGTACATTAATTCCTATTTGTAAAAATAAAAAGGATATTTAGAATTATATTAACTATAGAGTGATTAAATTTGTAAGCCACACAATTTTAGAGAAAGTAATTGAGCATGGGTTGAAATTAAAAACAAGTATTTTTGAGAATCAGTTTGGTTTTATGCTAGGTAGATCAACTGCAGAGGCGATTTATCTAATAAGAGGATTAATGAAAAAGTATCGTTGTAAAGATAAAGATTTCTACATGGTTTTTATTGATTTGGAAAAAATTTATGACCGTATATCAAGAGAAGTGCTTTAGAAAGCCTTGAAAAAGAAGGGAGTACGGATTGCTTATATTAAAGTTATGCAAGATATGTATGCAGGTAAAAATTAGTGTAAAAACATTTAGTGGTCGAATAAAGGATTTTTCTATAAAGATTGGGTTACATCTGGGATCATTTTTGAGTCCTTATCTGTTTAATTTAATCCTAAATGTTTTGACGGAATATATTCAAAGGGAAATTCTCAAATGTATACTCTTCGCGGATGATATTGTTCTTATAGCAGAGACAAAAGAAGAGATTAATTGTAAACTTGAGTTATGGAGGAGGACATTGGAGTGGAAAGGTTTCCATCTGAGTAGGAGTAAGACAGAATATTTATATTGTAAATTTGGTAAGAGACTAGTGGACAGTAATTTGGAAGTGAAGTTGGGAGATCAAATTATACCTCAAGTGGAAAAGTGTAAATATTTGGGCGTTATTATTCAAAATGATGGCGAAATCAATGGAGATATTTTACATAGAATTCAAGTTGGGTAGTTTAATTGGAGAAAAGGTAAGGGAGTTGTTTGCGATCGTAAGGTGCCTAATAAACTTAAAGGAAAGTTTTATCGTACTATTATTAGATTGGCTATGTTATATAGTAGTGAATGCTGGACTTTAACGGGACAACAAAAGCATAAAGTTGGAGTAGCAGAGATGAGAATGTTAAGATGGATGTGCAGACATACACATAAAGATAAAATTCGAAATGAGTACATACACGAAAAAGTAAGAGTAGCTCCTATTGAAGAAAAAATGATGGAAACTCATTTGTGATGGTTTGAGTATGTACAAAAAGACTGCGGGAGGCACCATGAAAAAGAGTGAAATATATAATTTTGAGCTCTGTTAAGAGGGGTAGAGGAAAGCGTAAGAGAGCACTCTTGAAAGTTGGTGAACACGATCTCTTAGTTAATAATATTTCTAAAAGCTTGATAAATAATAGAGCACAATGGCGTTTTACAATTCATATAACCGACCCCACCTAGTGGGATAAAGGCTTATTGCTGTTGTCCTTGCTTGTCTATCCCTTAAAAGATGCTTAAATTACATAGCCATCTTGTGTTTTTAAAAATCTACATTCTTTTCACCTAAATTCAAAGATATATACAAGTACGCCCATTTTGAGCTTATATTGATTGCTTATAAAATATGTACTCCCTCCAGACTTCTTTATAAAAAACCAAATGACTAAATTACATGGACCAAGGAAGCCAGTTAAGATCAATAAATATGTCTGAGATTTATTTGTTTTTAAAAAACACCCTTATAGATTTTTTGACATGATGGACTGGCTGCGTGTTAGTAAACGAGAGGGCGGTTGTTTCCTTCATGGAGGGTTTAAGAAAAGAATTTTTTTAATAAATGCACAAGATAGTAGGTAGTTGTTTCTTATATTTAGACCTAAATAATGCTCTCAGTTGTTTCTTTTAAAGAGGTTCAAAGGGAGTATTTGACTAATATAAAATAGTCATCGCAAGAAATTAGAATAATTTAAATTTATATTTAAAAATACATTATTTGATGAGTTATGTGTTTAATAAAAGAAATCAATACTCCTCATGTCTTATTTATAAGTCATTTTCATTATATTTTACCAAAACTAAAGAAAACATTAAAATTTATTAATTCTATCTAAATAGATAACAAATTTTCAACTTTGCTCCTATTAAATATACATATTTTAACAACAAATTTTTTCTTTACAACATTCAATGGAAGGTAAAGGAGAAATTTGTAACAAAAATTTATTGATGTTACTCATAAATAGGACAAAAAAAAAAGTTTCTTTCTTTGCTCTATAAATAGAACTAGAGGAAGTATTATTTTTGAGGATATTCTTAGCAGTTTTTTGGTTTTAATGAATATTATAGACATCTTTCTAGGAAGGAAAGAATCATTTATCCATCTAAAACATTGCCTTTATAGTTTGAATACTTATTCGTATATAATTCCTTTGAATGAGGCTATATTTTAGAATATTTTTGACAATGCTACTTATTAATGAAGTTATGAAATCGTGGAAGTTGTGGAGTCCGCTAGAAGTCTATTAGGTCACTTGCACGATCATTGCTTCTAGAAAGGCAAATGACTTAGTGATGTAACGCCCACTCACAGACACTGCTTCTAATGCGAACAGATATGTGGGAAGAGTTGTAGGAACAGATAAAAAGGAAGGGGGAATACAGAACAGTAATGGGGTGAGAGGGGAGAGAGAACTGGAGGAGGGAGGTTAGGCGGAGAAATGAAGGAGAGGTAAGAGCTGAAGGACGGGGAATGTGAAGAAACTTGAGGGTGAATGAGAAGAAGGGTGGGGAGAGAAACAGAACGAGAAAGGAAGAAGTTATCTAAACATCATAGAAATTAAATTTCATTCATTCAGCCCACCTCTTCAAAATACACAAGGGACATATATATAGAGGTTAAGGTTTCCTTCTCATGAAGGTAGCATCTACTTGCTCTCCCCTAAGGTTTCCTTCCCGCGAAGGAATCATCAACTTGCTCTGCCATCATTCCAAAAAGAAACCTACATGTTAGCAAATAAAATAAACAACAGAAAATAAATAAAATAAAATCTAAAAGTAGCTATTTCCTACAAGTATCTTAATTCTCATATTCCATTGGTTAGCCTTCACGTTTATGAATTTCCCATCATAGGAAATTGATTTAGTGTTGTTTTTGTCACAACAATCCAAGTGGAATCCCTATATAATCTAAAATCTACATAAACTTGCACTATTTGTATATCATTAATAGTCCAACTTATCTTAGACTTTGTGCAAAGCATGGGTTCACAATTTAGTTACTTCTAAAAAGGTAACTGAGCTAACCAAAGTACTAGTTTAATCACTGGTTTCATATTTGAGCTTTGGGTGTGTAGCTGTGCTGAATGGTTGTTGGAAGGGCTTTGTTCCCCTTGTTTTTTGTTAGCTCAACCCGGGGTAATTGAAATCCAATGTGATTTTTGGACATCAAGTTCTTTAATACTGTGTAAAAAAGGGTAGATGAGTTAGGATTAACAATTTATGTTTTTCTCATCCTATGAATCGATTCAGTGTTGTCTTTATGACAACGATTCAGTGGAATAATTTTTATGCTGAACTTCCAAAGGCATTTCTTGCTCTTCCATGCAAAATTAAGTGTTTAACTATCTTTCGTTTTGAACTGCATGTATAACTGCTTAATGCTGTTGATGCTTATAGTGGTCTGAATTTCTGACTTGACTATTCAGGTCTTTTGTGGACAATGGAAAGAAAGCAACAAATTATTTTCCTTTAGAGGAGACTCAAACTGGCTTGGCTTTAGCAAGGTACTGTAACTGTAGAAATTCAGGGCTAATGATCCTCCTAAGTTATTTGATTAGATGAAAGTTAATTTATATTTTTAAATGGTAAAAGAGAGAGATCCGAACTCTTGAGTAGTTAAGTGATAAAGCCTATCTAAACAAAATATTCAAAATAATCTTATTCCACTCGAATGAAAATAAAATTTTAAAATATGATCCTAAAATAAGGTTAACTTTATCCCGGTCAAAATATCATTATAATTGAAACAAAACACTTTAGATGATCTTAAAATCATGAAATCATTACCCGAAGATGACTAAAAAACAAATAATCTTTTATTAAAATAAAAACATAAAATCATTTAGTAAAATCAAAGGTAACTGCCAACAATATCTAAGCACATAGACAAATTGATGGCAGATCTGCATAAAATTGGTCTCTCTTAAGGTCAACTTTTATTATCCTCCGTATATGATGCTAGGCATTATACCATTTAATATCATTTTTGTTTTAGTTCTTTTCTTTGATTATATTTTTTTTTTCATATTCCAGACTGATTTATTTCACGAACCTATAGTCCAGCAAAAGTCACTGTTTATACCACTGCCACTCGCATGAAACTTGTTCATGCTAAACTTTAGTCAATTGCATCCTTACTAAAATGATGATGACGATGATATGAAGAAGAATCATGAAGAATATGAATTCTTATGCTCACACAAAATTAGACAACCTCAAGCAAACCATTAGATTACTCATCTTAGTTAATGAACTCACTTCCCATCACTAACCTATCTTTAGAAATGTGACTGAACCTCTGCTATAACAAGGAGGATTGTTTTGATGCAAGACAAAATTCAATTATTCAACATATATAAGTTGCTAGGTAACAGTAGAACCTATAAATAATTATTTTTCCATTTCCCTGCTGAGAGAGAAGTGACAATATTGGCCTAGCGCAAAAATTGAAATCAAGTTCCCTTTAATGGGGGTACATGAACAATTATTTAATTCCAAAACATGCCCACTGTCCTAACAGAAAAAAGAGAGAGAGAGAGAGAGAGAGAGGAAAATGACGGAAATATTAACATTAGATTCAAAGAAGACTATAGCTAATGAGGCAAGATCAAAATTGGCACTTTCCATTTTCTGCTTATTCTTTGGTTTGTAATAAGCTATCTTAGCCTCATTTTCTTAAAATATTTGCACGAGGCTTTAAAATTCTTTTCTTTTTTCTTTTTCAATCCAAACTTGTTAAAAAAATCGCTATTTTTCTAAGCTCTTTCTTAGCATTAAATTCAGTTTTAGGGATTTTTCCCCCTCCTGAGAATTCGAATTTTATTTGTTATTAGACTATGATATAGGAAAGGAAATGCACAAGAGCAGAAATGTTCCATTCTTTCAAAGATCCTCATGTCAACTAATAGCTTTCAATTAATTTATTATCCGCCTATTTTTCTGAGTATTATATTTATATATGAAAGCTATCACCTTCTTTAATCTTTACCATAAAATTTCATGTATGACAAATCTCTCCAGTCACGTGAATTTCTAAAGTCTTTGCATAATAATTTGCAAATTGAGTGGTTGATCAATCAATCAATAGTAAATGTTTTTCAATTGGAAAAAATCTTTAAAAAATACAAAGGAAAATTGATTAGTTTTGCTCCTGCTTTGGATTAAAAAGTCGTAATTCATTTTTTTTTTCTTTTTGTGTCATACGACTTAGCTTTGGCAAATTGCTCTACTTTACTATCTATATTCATGTTGCAGTGCTCCAACATGGATGTTTTGGGTGGATGGTGTGATTCAGGAAGCATATTCATCACTGATGTTGGTGGTGGGTGAAACAGAAAAAATGTCATCTGTTCAGTTATATCATCACTGAAGATATCTTTTTGTAGTTGTAGTAACCATAGTATGCATGGGGTGGGGATTAGTAGTATTGTGTACACAAGTTTCCCAGGAAATTGAGTTAGACATGGTAATGGCATTTCTAATCATGGCTTGTGAGCTGAGAGCCTGAGAGCACTGAATGAAATGGGCTTTGTTCTGCTTCATTTATGAAATGGCATTTCAAGCTACCCAAAATTTAATATTATTAATTTTTTGGGAAATATCTAGGCTAATTCAACTGGTCTCAAGAAGGGCATTAGTGAGATTTATGGCATCCATGAACTTGGTCATTCTGTGGAAATCTGCATTTGCTTCCTGCAGAAGTCATGCTTTTCTTGGCTTGTCTTGTATCAACGTCTGTTGGAACTTAGTTAAACTTTTAGCATACTATGATATATTTATGTTGTTCTGTTAGCCCGCAGATCATGGAGGCTTTCTTTTTCTCTCAAAAGTATTGTGGTTCATAGTCACTTGTGGCCTATTTGATTCTTTTATAAAAAGTGATTCAACTGTCCCGGAAATTGCTATGATGTGTGAGATTCCAATCTCGCTCGTGTTACCATTTTCCTGTTTGTTCTTGTGGTTAAGTCATTTTGATCTCCTGGAAATAAAGTGATATAATGTGCGAGAAATTTTCTCTCTTTCTTTTCACTTGTTTCCTCTCACACGCTTACAGTAGAAGTAGTTAAACATTTTTAAATTTTTTTTTTTATTTCAAAAGGATTTATATCCTGACATGAGCTACACTATGAAATAGAGGAATTCAAAAATCCACAGTGCATTTTGAAACTCTTTAAATGACATGATTTGATTTGGCAATGGACCTTCCTTTTCCATTACTTCTTTCCTTATACGTGGAGTATTGTATTCATTTGAACCTTTTTCCTTCATTATTTCTACGATGCTAGTCTGAAAGTGTGAGGAAAATTTTATTGTATTCAACAAGGGAAAATGATCCAAATAATGTAAGTTAGCATTCTCCACCGACCAAAATCTCTTACAATTGTTTGAACCTCTTAGGAATGGCTTAGAATGAATATGATACTTTAGGAGGAGTTTAAAAGAAAAATAGGAGAGAAAACATGGACTGTTGTATTCAGTTGTGGACGTGACCAAATGAATTATATTCGCCTGCCAATAGACGCGCAACAGAAAATCTGTTTGTGTCCACTTGTGAACATGGAATTAATTAGACTTAAGATTCTTATTTTATTATAATGATCTCAGGATTTGATTTGAATAAATGTAATTTTTTAAATTAATAGGTTATCTTTTAAATTATTAGCTAGAGTATATATTTAGTCTTTTAATTTTATGCAATGTTTTATTTTAATCCTTTAGCTTTATAAAGTGTCTTTTTAGTCTTTTAACTTTAACAATGTTAATTTTATCCTACAAATTTTTATATTGAACTTTTAAATATTGACTAAACATTTTTAAATATTGACATGTTAAGTTTTTTTCAAAATAACAATGATTAACATAAAATAATCATCTAAAATTAATGATGTTAGAGTTAAAGGATTAAAAAAATATTTTACAAAATTAAAGGATTAAATTAAAATCTTATATAAAGTTAGAGAATTAAAAATATATTTTAACCTAAATTATTTTAGAATATTGCTATTTAATTATTATGATTTAAAGAATATTATGCTTTTATCAGTTGAGGCTTACATATAGTGCCTTAATGCATTTTTTTTTTTTTTGCACACACTTATTATTGCATAAGAGTTGTTATTGTATTGCTTCTCATATGGATTTCTCTATTCTTTCTATATTCTCTCTGTTCTCTTCCAATCTCTTTTATTTTCCCTTCTTTATTCCATTTCCTCTTTCCATTTTGTATCAATTAGTATTAGAGTTAAGTTCGTACCCCACTTTTGCTACTAAACGCACTCTAAAAGACATTCATAAAGCCATATCCCTTGCGTTACTGGTAAAACACAAAATTTCACATATAAAATCTCATTCACATTTTGTTCAACTCATTGCCACAAGTATAGATCTTTCACATCCACCTATCAAATCTTCAAACCACTACTATCATTGTGTCTCACCTCCAAACACTGCCTATCTATTCATTAGATGGTGCTACATGTGTCATCACATGCCAATCATGGAATCTCCTATTTATTTCTTGCTTCCCTGTAGCCATCATCAATTTTACTCTCCAGACGAGAATTCATTCAAATGGGGGAGAAATGATGAGGTGCCGAATTAATTAGATTAGAGATTTTTATTTTACTAGATTGATCTTAGGATTTGATTTGAATAAATGTAATTTCTTAAATTACTTGAGTATCTTTAATTTTTTTTAAAAGATATTTGCACTTAATTATTTGGATTTAATGAATATTATACTTTCAAAGCTTTAATTTTAGGGTTATAGTTGAGGGTTACATGTAGTGCCTTTAATACATTTTCTTTGCACATGCCTGTTATTGAATAAGAATTACTATTGCATTGTTTTTTTTTTTTCTCTAAATTTTTCTCTTCTGTCTATATTCTCTCTACTCTATCTCTTTCTCTGTCCTTTTATGTCCTTTACTCCCTTTCCCCTTCCCCGCTCTACATCAGTGCATCAAGATCCATATCACTGCAAGAAGGATTAGAGAACTGAAGGCAAGACTCTTAGGGGCGGATTTCTGCACCTCTGGAATATAGGTGGAGTTGGCAAACAAAACAAGTATAAAGACCACCTCAAGAAAACTCAAGGCCGAATGGACAAACCTCAAGAAACAATTCAAGGGGTAAACCAAGAGAAAGTCAAAGGTTTTTTATGATTTTGTGTGGATTATGATAGTTGAGCCTATTTGAGCATAGGCCCAAGTTATAACCATGCAACTATCAATTTTCTCCTTATTATAAAGTTGAGGATCAGAGAAGAGATTTAATTTTAGGTAGGTTTAAAAACATTCTAAAATTTTAGTTCAATCTATGGGAGAAAAGTTAAAAGAATTTTAACAGTGAAAAGATCAAAATATCCTTCACATGTTATGCAGAATCACTAGTTGTTTATTTTCTTACTGTACTTATTAATTTACTAATATCACTTATAAATTATATCCCTTTGTCAAACAATCAGTACATTAATTGTTAATTTGTTAACTTTACTTATTAATTTACTAATATTAGTTGTAAATTACAAGACCTGTCAGTAATTTATAATTAATGTTATTAAATTATAAGATCTATCAATAATTTACAACTGATATTAATAAATTAACAAATAAAATTAACAATTTAACAATTGATATTGTAGCTTATGATTGAAAAATTAATGTCAAGTCTTATATAATTATTGACATATCAACTCATGCAATTTGCAACTCATATTTATAAATTAATAAGTGGAGTAAAAAATTTAACAACTTGTGATTCTGCATAACAATTGAAAGACATTATAGTTTTTTTTGAAATTCTTTTGAGTTTTTATTTTTAGACTAAACTGAAATTTTAAAATTTTCTTAAACCCACTTGAAATTAAGTCTCTTTCCTAACCCTTAACTAAAATCCTCCTAATTAATTAATAGGGAGAATGGCATACAATGCCCAAGAAAGGAACACGTTCATGCCGCAGACCCAATGGATTTTGACATTCCTCTGTAGGCCCAAAGACTTCCTATGCAACTATTTTCGAAGGTAAAATGATCGAACTATCTTTAATGAGTGAGAATATCTGTGCGTCCAACTAAAAAAATAAAAATAAAAATAAAAATAAATAACAAGAGACGGTACGTAGAAGCCTTCGATGTGAATTAAGGCTGAAAAGGAGGGGAAAACATAGCAGTCGTGGATAGATTGCACCAAGCAGGATATGGCGGAATTGGGTGAGAATTAATTGAACTGTGGTCTCAAGTTTAGAGGAAAATTTGAGTTAAACGTGATGATGGCATTTCTTCTTTCTTCAGATAATAGATAATGGTATTTCTAATAATTGCTTGTGGTGGTCCGCTTCACTTTTTTTAAAATGACCAATTCAAGCCCTCTAAAATTTGATCTTGTCAATTTCTGGAAATTAGCAGGCCAGTTCAAACGCTCTCAAGAAGGTCATTATGGAGATGTGGCATTCATTAGTCATTCAAGGTTTTTTCTCCCCTTGGCTTGCTACGAAGAAAGCTGTGGTTTTCTCGGCTCACTTGTATCATTGTCTATTGGGCCCAGTAAAGGTCCTGTTTGGTACAATTACTGAAAAGGGCCTGATACATGAAAATTGATATATGTAAATACTTCCTCTATTTAAAAAATGTAACATAATTTTTTAAGAGTTGGATATTTAAAAATATAAAATATTTTTAATCTTTTAAGATATAATTATTTTTTTTAAAAGTATCCTATTGATAATAACTTTTTATTTATTATAGGGTGTTTAATAGGAGTAAATATAAAAAAATAAGATTAATTAAAAAGTAGGTAACTACTTTATTGGAGGTTGAGATTAAATTAAAAATATCTTATATTTTTTAATGGAGGAAATACTTATTATATGTCTCGTATGGTTACTCAATTTAATACTCTCTCTGTCTCAAATTATAAAATACTTTTAAATAAAATTTCACATATAATAAAGCTCATTAAGTATGCTTAATAATTTTATTTTTTTAAAATAAAAATATAAACTTCTAAAAATACCTATCATTTAATATATTAAAAAGAAAAGGAATAAAAATTAATTATAGAAAGAAAGGGCAGTATTAAAATAAGCCTATTTAATAAAATTTTAATTTTTTCAAAATGTCCTATTTTGAAAAGTTGAATATCTCTCAAAAGTATTTTATAATTTAAGATGGAGGGAGTATTATATTTTTATTATTCAGAGGTATTAAAAGCATTTCTCATGCAACAGCTTACTTCTTTTTAATTCTCCCAACGTTATGTTCCTCCTTTTTCTATTCCAACTTATGTACCAAACAAGGTCATACTTTGTTAACATTTGGCATCATGTTTTCTGGTTTGAAAAAAAAAACAAAAAAAAAAGACTTTTAGCACCATATAATAACTTTATGATATTGCTTTTTCTTTTTTAATACCTTTATGATACTTTTGATCGTAGAAGATGTATATCTTTTAATCTCTCTCAAAATGTTGTATCAATGGATTTGGATTCTCTCCACTCCTCATTTCAAACCTTGAAATTTGAATAGCTCATATTTAAACTTTCAAAAAATTATTCATAAATCTTAAATTCTTAAACAATAAATAAATAAATTTAAGTTTTTAAAATTTGGTCAGGACAGTCTAGAGTTGCAATAAATAAAATATTAAAAAATTATATTATAAAAAAATTAAATCTGGACGACCACTCGAATTTCAATCTAATAGTTAAGGTTGGGAGTGAACAGAAAATAGAAGAGAGAAAAAAATGAAGAAAATCTAAATCCATGATCTACCGTCTTGTGTCGTCTTGTTTGATTCTTTTAGAAAAGGAAGTGGTTCAACAGTCTTGAAATTTGCTAGGTTGGTGAGATTTCAATCTCTGCTATGTGTTATGCATAATTTGGGCATTAAACTGTAAGAGTGACATAAC